GGAACAGGCAGACAGCTATGAGGACTAAAGTAACTAACTGAACGCCTGGCTGCCGCACCCGGATTCCTGAGCTTTGCCGGTTAAGCAAAAACTCTGCACTACCTGCTTTTAATCAAATACTGGAGAGTGCTGGGGAATACACGAAAGTTTTCTATAAACGCATAAGCATTTAAGCATAAAAATGCTTAAATGTTTAGAAAATTTGTTATTTCATTCATCTGTTGTTTTTATTTTCTTCGAAAATGAAATGCCTGTAGCCTATCCTAGCAGTCACGGGCCTAAAGGTACCAGAGAACCCAGGTGAGCACAGGGAGGACATGAAGCATGCCCACACAAAGGCTGGGTCAAATGCAGGACCTTCTTGCTGTGAGGGCACAGGGCTAATGCTGCATCACTGTGCTGCCCAAGTTATTTCAACTATTTTTATTAAAAACAATTTAATGGCCCCCTTTGTTTTACTTATTTTAATACTTTTATAAAATAAAATATCACTGAAGAAAAATATAACACTCTTTGAATCTTACTGTTTACACTACAGAGGTACATACAAATACTCTGCATATACTTGTGTGTTTAATAGCGTTTAAATATTTAGGTTCTATTAATCTGGATATTTACAGTTTATTGAGAAATGTTTTTACTGTTAGTACTAGTGAATATATTATTTATATTAGCAATGTGTCAAAGTTTTGTTAGCCTTTTGCTTATTGTTGGCAGTGCTTTTTGTATTTATTTATATTACATATTCAGCTCTGTACAATTACTTTACAGTACAGCACTTTGGTCCTGTGCTGGGTATTTTAAGGTTCTTTATAAATATAGTTGAATTGGATATTTTATGACTGTGCAGCATTCCTTAAATGATTAGTTCATGTATCCAATAATACCTGTAAAATGTAGGCTAGTTATTGACTAGCTCTTATATATGGTCACTTTCATACCCACCAGTGAGACAGTGGGACAGATTTGACTATGATCATATCTGAGTAACATGTCCTTCTCAGATAGCAGTAAAAGGTGTGTACACAGACTGTATATCAAAGATGGACTTGCTCATTTGACCTATGACCTCAGTAAACACTTTTTCTGATTAGAGCATCAATAGCTAGTGGTCCTATTTAAAGCCAAAAAGTACTTTAGAGCAAGTGCAGCCTGTAAGTGCACAGGTCCCTGACATGATTATTGAAGAAGATAAGACAAAGCTCATAGTTAAGTCTGTTTGGAGAATTGGACCCAATGAGAAGATCGGCTTAGAAATCTAAAGAGTGAAATAGACAAATCAACAAAGACTGATTGCACCAGTGTGTAGTCCTGCTCAGCTCTACTGAAGAATCAAGCCCCTTTTCGCTCATTGTTTCAGCTATGTGATCTGCAGGTTATAGTTTTGTCATAGTCTTGCTACTGTAAAGACATTCAGCAGGAAACATGAGCTGAAAATAAAACAAAATTAATGGTACCAAGCTACGGAAAGACAAACTTAGCAGCAACATTTCTAAATATTTTTCTCAGGAGCCGATCAAATTTTCGAGGTAACCGTTCAAATGGCTCTTAATCAAAACCTTTTGTGCTGTTGCTGAAAGTCTCCATTGCCCTTAAGTATATTAAAAAAAAACATTAACTGATGTAATTTTGAATAATTACTATAGAAACTTGTGAAGTGATAATTTCTTGTGCTTTCACGAACTTCATCAGTCATTGGAACATAAAAGTCTTGTTGCAGTTTTTTGGGAGCTCCACTTATAAACTTCTGCTATCCTCCCCTCTTTGCATGCTGCTGCACTTGTCTTTTGATAGTTGACTTTGCAAGTCATGCCCTGGTGCTTGGCAGGTATGGTAGTTGCCTACAGCACACATGTGTAGTTGAAATCATAGAAGGGCATCTTGTATACCAGATTTGTGGGATTTCATGTTTCAGAGGAGGGTAGATTTAAGAGATATTACTTTTAAATCGCACTGCTAGTGGCCAGCAGCTGTTTCTGCAAAAGGTTAAAAGAGGCTTACAAAGTATCCCATTCATCCCAATGATCTGGGCTATAATTTAAAAAGCATGGCCTTTAAAAAAAATAAATCTTTAATAAACAATAAGCATCCTCTCATCCCCGGCGGGTGTTTTGCCAGACTCCACCCATGCTGTGTGACATTTGGGAGTTGTTATCTGAATTTTTCCACCGCACTACTGTTAGCATCCTTCAGCACCGAGTGAAGCTGTTACTTATCCAACAATCAGCAAAAGTCTGAATTAAAAACGTTGCAGAACAAAATGATCTGACTCAAAGCAATGAAGTCATTGTTAACACACATGCAAGCAGATTCCAAGCCACGCAGAGAAGAGGAAAGATTTGAACAGGAAGAAGGTTAAAACTGATTAAAACTTTACAACAATAACAATATCAAAAGTTTGATAATTACAGCAATTACAATGTAATTTTAACAAAAAAGTCACAGTGAAACATTTTCCTCTTGCTAGAATTTTGTCCCGTTACTGGCTTTTCAGTGTAGCAGGCTGACATGATTGTTTTTGAAAAGAGGTGCCAAATAAAGCTATGTGTTGCCATCCATGTGCTGACAGCCATCTCTTTACTCGTGTCAGCCAAAATTTGACTCATAAAATCTTTTTTTAATGCAGCAGTATGAGGTTTGTTTTTGCAGCTATAAAAACACAAAGTGAGCAATGAGTTAGAAATTAACCTTCAAATCTCATTCATGACAGCTAAATTTTTATTATTTGAACATCTGGGGGGAAATGTGTTTTTTAAATTGTCTCGGACTCAGCGGTGTAGGCTATGGTTAGCTTAGCGAAGCATAAATACTTGAGTCAAAGGGGGGAACTTTGTCCGATGGTGTCCAGGGACACAAAAATACACCCAAAGCAGCAGCAGCTAATGGTCCACAGGATTCATGAGTTGAGTATTTTGGAAATGGCGTGAGGGAAGTCCAGTTCTGCCGTAAGACTTTTGATCAACCAAAGTACAACCGAACAAAGATATGAATGACCTAGCATCAATGAATGGCATCAGGACTTTTTTTCAGACGATGATCAACCACATAAAGGAAACACAAAAAGCTAACCGTCTTATGACTTTAACTATCTGCAGGTATGTTAGAAGCATTTACAAGTTGGCTATTTACTATGACCTCAACCAATAGTAGCAAGAGGATTTTTTGTATTGTGTAGAAATGATTGATAAGACAACAAAGTCAAGGTGTGTGTTAGTGTAGTTCTGCAGTGTCTTATTCTAGATGTTGGATATGGACTGTCAAGAACTGCAATCTGCAGAAGGACTGATCACATGACATGGAGGCTATTTCACACAGATATGAATATAGGTATGTTTTGTCATGCCCTTGAGCACAAAATGGCTCATAGTTACTGAACGTAACCAGTGTTGCAATTTGTGATGGCCAAACCCATCTCCACACTCTAAAGTTGGTAACTCTTGTGTATTTTCATTTCTTCATTTGAACACAATAACACACTTTAGTTTCCAGTAAGTTTATTGATTGGTTTGGATACATTTGTTCTATTTGTAAGCGCGCACATATAGTTTACTTATTCATACCAGTTCATTGCTTTGTTTGATTTTTAACTAACCTTTGTTTCTTTTACTTCTTACCTGCCATGATCCGTGAGAGTTGCTAGACAAAAGGTGATGGCCAGGGTTTGAAGCTGTTAAATACAAAGAGGGATAAATGGACGGCACCACCACTTCCTGCTGAAGGGGAGAATGTATGTTTCCTTTCATTAAAAAAAGCTTTTGTATTTGATTAGATATTTGACTTTAGGGTTTAGTGGTTTTTGATTCTCTTCTTTGATCTTTAGTTTGTTAACAAACTAGACTATGCTGCATCATTTTTGTGGTTTATGATTGTGTTTTGTTTAGTTACCACTCGTGTGTCATAGTGGTCTGATCAGCCATTATATTTACCCTTGTGTGTCATTTCCTGTTTAGGTCAGTTGTTTGTTTGGCCAGTTGTTTGGTTTGTTAAGTTTGCAGTTCTTTGACAGAGGTGGGTTTTGTTTCTTTTACCTCTTTTATGACTTCAACATTTGTTGCTTTTGTAAATATAATTTTTGGGGTTAAATAAATGAAAACCCTATTTTTCTAATGACTCCTGCTTTTCCAACTTGGTCCATCACACAATGTATTCTGGTAGAATTGCAATTCAAGTATTACTCAAAATCTGCAAAAACCTGAGGTCTAGCAAATTCAATACAAATCAAATTTGTCTCATGCTTTTTGTATTCTTTAAACTTTTAAACCAACCGCTACCGATCTAAAATGAAGACGGATAGATTTTTCAAAGGAGCCACAATATTAGCTCTTGCCTGAATCTGTCTGTCATCTATAGTTACACTATGTAGACAAGTGTAAGTGTGTGTGTGTGTGTGTGTGTGTGTGTGTGTGTGTGTGTGTGTGTGCTTGTTTTAACCCATATCTACTTTAAGTGAAAGTGGTGTTATTTATTAAGTGTTTCTCCATTTTAACAGATATAATTTTAAATGTCATTATTAATGACCAGCAGCTGGATTTCGCTTTATCCGTCTTATACCGATCATCTGGGCTAAATTTTAATAAGTTATATTGGCAGTTTATGGGTATATCAGTCACACTTAAAAGCCAAATATGCACTTTGACTAAATATATAGGAGATCAGTGTGTTAAGTGCCACAAGCATTTAATAGTCAGTTTGGATGGATCCCTGGAGTAAAAATGTGAAGTAATTTTCTCTCAAGGATTTCTTGTACTGTATGTATAACACTGTTTTCCCATGCATTTTCTGCTTTGTCTCTTTACAAATGCATGAAAATGACCTGCATGTTTTTAACCCACGACTATTTCTACATTCATAAGTCATACAGTAAATTGGTTAATGTTATATCAAATGAACCAGATGTGAAATAAAACCTTCTACCAGGCCTGGAAGATTATTTGTTTGTTGACAGTCTGCCTTCTTGTGGATATGCTAGCCTTTCATATTGTTGTCTTATTTGTTTTCAGGGATCTAAAGACCAAGGTTGAGAGGGAAGATACCAAGAAAGAGTTGCTGGGGAACCAGACCAGCCTGACTGAGTCTCATTGCATTCGATGTCTCCAGCCTTTTAAATTCCTGCTTAACAACAAGCATCAGTGCCTGGACTGCCAGCTCTACATCTGCAAGTCCTGCGGCCGCTATAACAAGAAGGAGGATGGCTGGGTGTGTGACACCTGTCACATGACCAGGTAGGTAATGACCAGTGTAAGAATAATTCAAAATGGTCATTCAAACTAAGTGTCATGTTGAATACAAGAAATCATATATTTAACTGTAACTATAAATGCAGTTCAAGTTCAAGTTTTAAACCAGTCATTTGTGGACAACACACTGTCTCCATGAGCTTCATAAGCTTTGTGCTGACATGCCTTTAACCATGCTTAATAACTTGACCAGCGAGCTCTGGGATGTGTACCTGGGAAAGCACTTAATATGTTAGAGCCAGAAAAAACTAAAGTCAAAAGAAGATTCCTCTGTTAATTTTCAGCGGGATTTCCTTCCACATGCATACATGGAAAGCCAGAGGTGGAGAGTTCAGCAGCAAGACACTCTACAAAGCAGGCATTAATCATAGTAAATGTGACAGAGAGTAGGTCAGAAAAAGCATGAAAAGAGGTGGTGGGCTGCAAAGAGGCTTGCAGCGAGCAGCACTTTTGACAGGTTCAAGAAACATAAATAGCACAAACTGCTCTACATGACAATTGCCAACTGGTTTTGTAGATGGGTACCAGCTCTTCCATCTGCTGAACTGAGCGACTAAAGCTGAGATTGTGTATTTCTGGCCTGAACTGATGCTAAGCTTGATTTGCAAGTTGTGGTTTGCTGTGGCAACTCGACATTTCTAAAAGTGAATTTATGTTTTTAGGACATTGTGTTCTTTCTTGATAAGATGAATAAAAATGAGCAAATAACACATTCAGATTACTAATAAACAAAGAGGCAACCCATGTCCTGTCAGTAGTTAAAGAGCTTTGAGGCGACTGTTGTTGAATCAAAGGTTAAGCGTCAGGTTCGATGTGCTTTGATGGATGTTTGGCTGCTTTTTAAACAGATATTTAAAAAATCCTTTTTACTGCTTAGGCTCTGCTGGATGCAGCAATAGATTTCAATACATCCTGCTTGAAATCAGCTCCATATGGAACCATGATACCATTGTTTGTTGAGATGAAGCTGCATACTAAAAAGTTCTTTAATGGAGCTTGGCCAGTGTCTGGAAAGCATCATGCTATGTATCTCATGCTTAAACCTGCACACTGCTGTTTTATAGCAAAAGAGCAAAATACAGCTCTTTTTGCTGGCAAGTCTGTATTCCCACAAGTATTTTCTATGTGATATTATGGGATAGTGTATAAATTGGCCTCATTTGGGGCTCATTTCTCACCATGTGTTCTCATTTTAAACGTTTCACATGTAATGTTATACTTGAATTAATAAACAAATAGAAGAAAATCTCTTAATATAAAATGCATATGCATTCATTTTCAGAATGAACCTCATCTGTGAATGACTTCTTTAGCATCTATATTTTGATTCCTTCCATTCTTCTCACTTACAGAGTACTCAAGATCGGTACTTTGGAATGGTACCATGAGAACGTCCGTGCCCGTTTCAAGCGCTTCGGCAGCGCCAAGGTGATGCGTTCCCTCTTCAGGAGGTTCGACGGAGAAGGCAGCCGCTCTCAGAGTGACTTAGGAGGTGAGCAATCCACCTTCTGTCTGGTTTGTTACTTCGTTTCAAACCAAGCTTATGTCTGGAATGTCATAATCCTGGTTCTGCTGCTGAAAATGTGCATTTTTGCCAGTCAGCGTACTGTCACGGTGGCCTTTAAGCAAAAATATTAACACCCCACTGACTAATTAGAAACTGCTTAGTGGTTAGCAGTCAAACACTTGCTGCTCTGGGCAGTTGCCAAGTAGGGAATGTCTACATGAATATCCAAACAAGTGCAAATAAAAGGTTACAAATGTGTTGTAATGTCAAGCCTCAGGTCAAGGTGGCTTTGAAGAGGCAATCTTAAGAAATTTCCATCTGTTCCACTCATTTCTTTACAAGCCCTGAGGAGAAGCTGCCGGTCAAAAGTTCAATCTGCCAGAGTCAGAGAGCACTGACTCGAAGTCATGGAAGTCTGCTTGAGCTTACCATGAGAAATCCCCACTAAATGAAAGGCTTCACTGAGATTCAGCAGCTGCATACTATACTGCGGCTGCTTGGAAAATATGCATCACTCCAGCTCGACTGGTAAAACGTCACCGTGACGATCGCCATCTCATCTGTGAACTGTGTTTGAGTTCAAGAATTGGAGTTGTAATGTATATTATTATATTTCACTGGACAACAAAATGCAAGCTCTTCACAGTGATGCACGCAGACTGAAAGTAATGCTGTGCCCGGGCCTCTGCAATCATCAGATCCTCTCCATCAAAGAAAACGGCAAATTAGAGAATATATTTTGAGACAATAGTGTTTATGGTGTTTGCAATGGCGCCAATCTTGTGGTCCAAGACGCTTTATGTCACCCTTGTCCTTTAATTTGTCAGTCGTCTTTGTATGAGCATCTTTATTTTTCTGACACTAAGTCACCAGAAGAAAGTTTCTGCTCTCTTTCTCAAATATTAGCAGGCTGCCAGATCTGTCACAGGGATTTAATCTTCCATCTTTCCTGTTTTTCCTGCTTTCTGGCTCCTCACAGCTGTATCTATCTTTTGTCGTCAGCTGACCAGGATGCTTATTCTAACTCTGCCCTGCGGGAGATTATTACCAGAGATACTAAGGTGGAGGAAAATGCTGTTTGTTTATTGTGTGCAGCTCAGGTTTAAAGTCTGATCCAGTGACGCTATTAGGCCTCATCAAAACCATTTTTCCTCTCTTTTTGAACTTGCTCACGCTGCATTTTGAGGACACACACCCACAGCATATGATACAAGTGATCCTTGAAGCATACTTTATGTCAGTTTCAAGCATTATTACTCACAACAGATTACCCTTTGAGATCACAACATCAGGAGATGAGCGAATGTGATGAATTATATAGAAACAGCCGAGACCTCTGGTACTGTTTACGCTGAGTCACCCCTGAGGATTTTGGGAAGGAATACAGAGCAAGTTGGTTGGCCGATGCAGCTCCCGTGGGCCTTGTGATAATTCACTCACATGTCTCCCATTCTGTGCCTGGAACTGAAGGATTCGGTCCTGCAGGGCTCGTCCAACCAGAAGCAGAGCAAAAGTGGAGGGAGGAGGACAAAATGTTTGTCGTGTATGTATGTGGAATCTAGCACACAGTGTCCACAGATGCAAGCTGTAGCCGTGAAATACAGTCATAAAAATGCATGTTAACAGATGTATTATGTTTAAAATGAACTCAGCATGTGACCACTTGGACTGAAATCAACATGCATTTCCACACATAGGCACACATTCTTTTACTGTCTTTTTGCTGTATGCATTCTATGGTCCGCTGGGCCCCCAGAGCTCGGAGGGTGTCATCCTGTCCTCACACTCTTTGCTGATACTTACAAAAGAGTCTTGTTCACATACAAAAGTCTAATTCAGTCCACTGGCTAACTCTCACTTTGGCTCTGCCGTTTAATGCTGCTACTGCTGCTTCTGATTATTGTTTTATGTGGAAAGTATAAGGACTACCTGTATTATCTCAGTTTGCTGAGCTATTTATTGCAGTTAATAACCTAATGTCATTACGTCTAGATTTGCAATTAGGAGAACAATGTGATAGTAATTACAGGAATCGGATCACTTATATGAAACTATAATTAAATGCAAATTAATAAGCCATGTGCGCGCTGCTCTTCTGTTTTCCAGAGCCTCGTGAGTATGACACACAGAGCATGCCTGAGGTCCACAGTAAGTATACTGAAAAGGTCAGATGTTGTCACAAGACAGAAATATGTTTGAATTTCCAAAATTTAAATATAACCAAAAGGTGCTTTCATTATTTTAGTATATTCTGCTTTGATTTGGTCGCGTATTTAAACTGTTCTTAGCTACAGCTCTGCTTTAAGCTAAATGCTAACTCACTCACTCATGAAGTTATGTGACATTTTATTATCGGATCTAATAAACATTTGGGAATTCTCAGTAAGATTGTTTTATTTTATCCCCTTTAAAGTTGTGGTTTATTTTATTATTATTTTATTTATTTTTATCTATTTATATAATTATCATTTCATTCATTTATTTCTTTATTTTTGGTAATTGTGCTCCTGATTATCTTCTGTCTTCACCAATAAGGCACCATCTTGGAATGTGCAATCCATCTCTCAGAGTGAAAACAGGATTTTCTTTGCATGCCATTGAGAAATATCCCATTCCTTAACTTTGAGAAACACTGCTTTTACATTTTGTTTTGGGTTGTTACCCACTTCCACCGTTAATCTCTGTCCAGTCAGTTTGGCAGCATTTGACTGAGGCTATACTTCACAGTTCATCCTGCTGCTTCTACCAGCAGCTACGAAACTGCTTGTCAGTCAATTATCCAACTACACGTGATGATCTACAGAAGCAAAGTTACAAATACATGTAGACCTCACATTTGATCAAAACGATGAATGACTCACTGGGTCTTCAATAAACATGATCAGAAAGCTCATTTCTAACTTCTATTCACTATTTTCAGAGATTTGTGTGAGTAATGGACTCATTCTGTGGTCAGGCAAAAAGTTTCTGACATTAAGTTGACTGAATGTCAGATATAAAACTCGTTCAGTGAATCTGTTCAGTTATTGCTTCCAGTGCATTACCTGTTTGCCTGGCTGTGTTTATTTGATTGTAATTGTACAACAGAAACTATATACAGGTTCTGTTTTAGTACCTGTTTTGTTTTCATTTTGATTCACCTTAACTGTTCTAAATAAATCTATTTTTCACCATTTTACCACTAACAAGAGTCAATTTGAGCCCACTTATTTTTCCCCTAATTCAGCCCCATGTGTGGTCTCTATGGATACATATATTTTTTTAACTGGTACCTTAACATTTAACAGGAACATCTGTGATGATAATTGTAAGCATAACGATACAGTAAATAAGAGAGGTTCATTTTCGTTCATTTACAACGATCCCTTTGGTGTTTTTGAATGCCTCACACATGCGGTGGGCACAGCGGTTTGGGAACAGACCTAAAGGTTCTGGTTAGTCTGGCACAGTCATCTGGCTCCCATTGCCACTGGCATATCAACAGTAAAAGAGCAGAGCCAGGGAAGTTTTAGTCAGAAAGACTCAAGAACATAAAAAGTGTAACTTATGTTACGAGGTTATTGTAGTTGTATTTCCACAGTTTAGTGTGTGTCACGGGGGTTTTTTTTCTGCAGATAATTTCTGCAAAATGTAGCAAAAGCCCCAAAATTAGTTCAGCAGTTAACAGTAAGAACTAAAAGACTAATCTAAAAATATGAATATTCATCTTTTTCTGCTTTTATGCTCAGTGTAAAGTTTTTGTTGTTCCCAGCATTTTCTTCCCTCTTTCTCGTGCTGTATTCAAGAGGGAACTGTTACACACTGCAAAAATGCAGCTCCCTCGTAAACGCTCTCATAAAGAGGGACTGAAACACAGTCCATAGTGTTTCTGCTTTTGCTTTCTCTTGCTGTACTTTGTAAACAAGGTTCACACTGTAAGGTCAAAGGCCACTGGTTAACAATAACAGAGGTCTCTGTAGTCTGGAGTGACTCTAGTTTCAGTCACATGGTATCTTTGGAAATGCATGCACACTGGAAAACAAAAAACCTTTTTTTGGTTATTCTAACACTGCCATGTCTTCCTTCTTTGTCTATAGGTGCATATGGGGAGCACAGTATGGATGCAACAGACTCACAACAACACCAAAGGGTACGGCAGCTCATTTTTAAATCATTTTCATATCTTAAAAGAACTAGCAGTAGATTCCCCTCAATTTTAACAACTATCTGAAATCGTTTTAAGGGCAGCCTTACTAAATGTTTGAACAATGTTGAGAGTTGGATGGAAAATGAAAAGTGAAATGAGGAAACACCTTCTGAGGTCATAGTAAAGACATTTGTTTGGATCTAAATTTGGTTAAAAGGTGGAAGGACACAGATTCCTCCTAAAACTCATAGATTAAACTCAGAGCCTTCTTCCTGTGGAGCAGCAGTGCTAACCACTGCAATAACTTGCTGGCTTATCATGTTACATCAGTCATTTTTGACTGTTCAGCTCACAATGCAGCCACAACTTACATGTAGATTTTATACATTTATGCATGTTGTTAAGCTTTGTACAACTCTGGCAATGCTGGAGTCTATTCCAGTTATCACTGAGCAGGATGCACCCTGGACAGGTCAGCAGTCCATCACAGTGCTAACTCATAGAAAACAACAATCATTCCTATTTTGATGAGGAGAGATCATTTAAAAGAACTGAACATGATTTATTGAGATAGACAAATTGTTGTCTTAGATGAGTAGACTGGTAACCCATCACAGCAGAACAGAATCCCAGTGGCCTTGACGCTGGTGGTGAAGATGAAGCCTGAGGCTTGGGTGCAGCTCTGAGGGACTCAGGTGAGGTAGAGATGGGGAGGAGGCGGGTTGAGCAACTGAGAGTCTGAAAAGAAGAATGATGGAGAGCACAGGGTTAAACCACGCAGAGTGGAGGCTGATTAAGATAAGATAAGATAAGATAACCTTTATTAGTCCCACACGTGGGAAATTTGTTTTGTCACAGCAGGAAGTGGACAGTGCAAAAGTTATGACGCAAAAATTAGAATACAATAAGAATAAATACAGTACACAGCTGTACAGAATAGAATAAAATAATATACTATATACAGTAGAATAAAATAGAATAAAAATATACAATAAGATAAAAATAGAATACGAATGCTATATACAACTGAGTAAAAATACAACGATGCCAGAAAGGATTATTGCACTTAGTGTTATTGCACATGTGTGGATGTGTGTGTTTGTTCAGTTGGCTCAAAGAGTAGTGATGTCAATATTGAGACTGACAGCGTGGGAAACTGGTAGTGATGTAATGGACAGACTAGCAGCAAGGAAAGCAGGCAGATGGGTGATTATCTTACTGAACGCATGCAGACACTTCACTAATGTTCACACTTACAGTTAACATCCACAGAGAGAACATACAAGCTTCTGGAGTTGCCTTATTATTCTGTTAACACATTACATAAAAAGACAGCATGCAGCTGTGTTTCAGGTTGTAAAGTTTAAGTGAGTTTGCTGCCAACAGGAGCGACTCAATTGATGTGCATCATAAAACAAAAAATGAATTTAGTGTGTGCAGAGAGAAAATCATTTGCAGGTATTTTGTTATTTGCTGATGTGACATGTGGAGATCTGCAAGCATTTCCTAAAACAAGAGGCAATATCCTGTTTATTAGTTACTGGGAATTTAAGTCAGGTGTGATCAAAGCTTATCTGCAAAACAGACAACTTCACTGTAGCTTAATTTTGCATCCACATGTTTGCTCTTTTTTTCTTTAATCAATGGAGTTTTTGCACGAGTGTGCACTGGTCAACACTAATTCCCACTGATGGCTGGTTCCTGATAAAAAGCAGAGGTGCTTTCTTCACAGGTTATCTTAGTGATCTAGGCCAGCCCCTCGTGAAGGACTGGAATGCCTGGCACGGGCAGGCCAGCACTGGCTGCAGAGTGCAGTGGGGAAATACCAAGCTGTCATATATAAAAGAGTCAGACCGGAGCTGAGCAAGCCTTTGGTTTAGAAAATAAGGGTGGGTGTGGGGGCACTGATTCCACTGGAATTCATCATAAAATGAAGATTACTATTGTTTATACCACACTCTGTGTGTACTGTAGAAGTTAAGCTTTGTTTATTTTCAATCATTGTGCTGACTGTTGAGAAATGACAGGACTCCCAGGCTCTGCTGGGTCTCCGGATGCATTTTTTCCAACCCTTGCAGTTTTTTCTATATATGTTTATCTTAAAGAATCTTAATTTTGATGGACGTTACAGAAACAGATTGCTGTTCACTGGATCCCTCGTTCAAGTTTCTTTTAGACACAGTGCCCTCTGCTGTTCCAAACAGCCTAATGTATTGAACCTTCTGACATTTCCCTGTAAGGAAACCGGCTCACATTCTGCCTGCTCAGAGAAGCTACAGTTCAGTTTAGATAGTGTTTGGAGCTGGTAGAGACTCAGTGACCCTGATGCTATGTCAACACTGGAACATGGATATGCACCCTTAAATCAAATTTCCCTAGAAGATCCAAAGAACCCATGGTGTGCGTCTCTCATTTCAGCATTACTTTTAACTCATTTAAAATATTTACCCACGTGCATGTATCTGTGAATCATGCACCGGCACCAAAAATAAATGAATAAATAAAACAAAAGATATAAATGTAATAACATAAGTATTAATCATATTTATTTTACTGCAGACCTGAGCTTTTAAGTGTTATGTATGCCCTATTAAAACCTTCCTAAAATATTATAGCCTTGTTGTTTTTAGCCAGGTATTTAAGTGTAACTCTACACATACACTTAAAGCCACACAGAGCTGCTTGTTAATGCAAATCTTTAATTATCCAATTATAATACATGACAGCAACATGATAATGAGTTCATGTTGAGTTCATCTGAGTCCAGTAGAGATGTGATGGAGATATGATGATATCATCTAAAAAGAAATGGAGGTCCAACCCAGGATGAACTAGGTGTACCTAACAAGGTGGCCTGTGTATTTGGACTATTGTTGGTTAAAAGGAAAAAAAAAATGTGACTATAAGCCCCATGGGAAGCAATTAGTGCTTAGTATTTGGTCATCATGCATAAGTAAAAGTCCACTTCTGTCTCTACAAGCAATACGAATCTATTATAACAGGCTAATTAGCAGTAGAAGGTATATACTTGTGTTAGTTCTGCTACAGCGGCAGTACATTAAAGGGCGACAAGTCAATCACTTTCTGAGTGTATGGAGCAAACAGCCTTTTGTCATGGCAGAGGTTTATCTCTTTACGCTTTCCTCTCTCCTCCCTGCTGACGATGGTGTTTCCCCTTCATGTTCTCCAAAGATGAAAAAGGTCAAAAGGAGGTTAACTGTTGATCCCATTGATTTCAAACTGGACGTTGACTACCTCAGCCAATCAAGAGGACCCTCAAATGAGGTACAGGCTAGACAACTAAACTAACCACAACTAGCATCCCTCCAAAACAAACTAATCTGCATGTTGTAATCCATAACAAAGACCATCTGCCTCTGCACTCTGTCTTTGCCAAACATTGTCTATGTTGGCTAGACAGTACTGTATTAGCACTGTCATCATTCATTCTCGTATCTGGCCACAATAACCCTTTTTGTGTACATCCAAATGTTGTGTGTGCAGACATGGACACATCTTGTCCATTTATTAGCTGAACAGATTTTCTAATGCAGTGAACTGTTTCAGGTGGTTTTTTTCCTGCTGTAAATGTATGCTGTTTGGACTGAATGTGAAGCAGCAGTAAATTTAGGCTTTTCCTACTTGAGCCGGAAAAGCAGCAGAAGTCAAAGGGAATAACCTGCACACAATTCTCCACTCTTACCTCCAGGAGCCGGGTGATCGTGACATCATGGTCATGGATGTAGGCGGGAGGAAGTCGATGCTTGCTGAGGCAGATATGGCCACCGTGTTTCATCAGATCATGGATGAACAACATAAAGAGCTGGACCTTGAAGTAACTCCACAACAAGGTAGAAATTAGATTCAAACGAACAAATAAAACTTTTTTTTTTTAAATATTAAAATAATCAAGGAACTTATAAGTAACACAAGAACTTGTGTTACTTGCAAATAAAACAAAAATAATTGTTTTATTTGCAATTGTAACTGGAATTGTTGAATTTAGTAATTAAGTAATTATAATGTGCTAAACTGTTGTTTGTTACTTTGTAATGAATAACTGATCAAAGAAAAATACTTATAATACTTATAATACTTAGCATTGTAGTTATTTTACTGCTGGTATAATGGCACCTGTGACAAAGAGGTTGCTTTGCACAGATGACCTGGTGTACTCAGATAGCCGGACAATCCCATCCCGCTCCATCTCCCGGCTCAGCTACTCCTCGTGTGGCAGCGGCAGCATCGGAGGCCCTCGATGCAGCAGCAGCGTCTACCTGCCTGGCCTTGAGGACTCAGAAGAAGAAGAGGATGAGCACTGCCAGCCGTACCCACTCTACCAGTTGCATTCAGGCCTCTGCCGCCAAACATCTCAGGACAGCCTGAGCTCAGCCAACCATCCGCCACAGGTCTTTCATATGCCTCATATTAACATCACACGAAATGGTCATTACATTACACTCATTTAAGACACTCATAAATCGTCTTTCACGTCTGGTTTCTGTGAGTGGAGGAAAGTTGCTGGCTTATTTTATACATTTTGCCTGCATTCCACACCAATGAACACAGCCAGACATTAAAACGTAAAGCTGTGAGATTCCACATTATTAACGATCCATGTGGTTTTAATGATGATCATAAAAGTTTAATGCCCGTGTTTTGTTTTTTTCTTGGATAATCTTTATTTTTGTGCTCTGTTCACTTTGTTTGTTGGTAGGGGAAATTGGAAAAGGGTAGGCCTGGTGAATCATTATAAGGAAAGCAGAAAAATTCAGCTGATGCAGTAAAATCACATGGTTCAAATCTGTGATCACTGAGACATGGTGTTGGATTGATTGAAGCAGCTCAGAATAACTTTCAGTAAATTGTTGTTATTAATTCCACTCGGGATTATGAATTGAACTGCAGTCATAATCTTTGGAATCATTGTTCTGTAGCTGTCAGATAGATGGCCTCGCATCATTCAATGACAGCAAAGTGCCCGACTCCAGTGATTGCAAAACAAGCCCAATTCAGCCCTACAGAACCGCGCTGACAGTGTATATGAGATTATATGAGATGTTTGTGCTGATATACTGTGCTTGGTTTTCCCCAAACATTGTGCTCTTTATTTATGGACAAATATCTCCACTTTGGTCTCGTCTGTCCAAACGACATCATCCAGAAGTGTTGTGGTTTGTTTAGATGCTGAAGCTGTACTGCCATGTTCAGAAGAGGCTTTCTCCTGGCGACCCTTCCAAAAAAGCCATACTTGTTCCGTCTTTTTCTAATTGTACTGTCATGAACTTTAACATTTAACATGTCACATGAGGCCTGTAGAGTCTGAGATGTAGCGCTTTGGTTTTCTGCAGTTCCTCTCAGCATTGCACAGACTGACCTTGGGATAAATTAGTTGGGACGTCCACTCCTGAAAAGACTGTTCTCAATACTTTCTAACTGTGAATAATTTTTCTCCCTGCAGAATGATGTCCCTCATATTGTCCGGAATGACCATATTTTGCAGTTTATCAGAGGTTGTATTCATCTAATTTTAAAACCTGCATTGGTCAAATGGGACAACAAACTGTAGTGTTAACATGATAAACTTTATCTTGTTTTGAATGGGTTGTATGGGTTCAAACTTCATACCAAACTCAGCATTTGATCTGATCTGGTACATACATTAATTGCAGTGTCGCTTTAGAGGCACAGTTTAGAAAGAACACAAATAACAAGCTGATATTTTAAGCCTTTCAAGCAGTGCATGCTGGAAGTCGGACACAAGTTCTTCAGTCTGACGTGCTGAGTGATGTCGTGGAGACAGCTGCTAGATCAGAGGGAGGTTACATGCATTACATCAGTGTCTATTTATGTGTCAGTATTAAACACAGTCCCTGGAAAGGATTGAAGCAGTAACCGTGGCCGTTCTGTTCTTGTGAAGCAGATAGAAAACAGACTTTGTTTACCATTAGTCTGAGGAGGCTGCTTTGCTGACTGCTGTCACTAATCAATATGTCTGGATTTATCCTTGTGAATCTCAGTTTTCAGTTCATCTGTCTTTGAGGTGATTCAAACACAGTCTGGAGTTTATATGGAGGTATAACTCGAGCCATAAAAATATTCTTTGCAGTTTTTAAAGATAAGGAATATAAAAACAAAGAAAGCAATTAAACTCTGTGATGGTGAGTAGCCATGAAAACAGAAGGAATTATCCAGCCTACCTGTCTCCCTGCGCTGATTTATACCTTCGATAAGTTGTGTCATGGTAAATTTGTCTCACAGCTGGGCAGCACACTGAAGAGACATGCAAACAGGATACAGTGGAAAACATACAGCCCAGACATGTCTTTGTCAGATATCAAAACCAGACGTGACATTTCTCATCTGACAACAGTCACTCATCTTGCATACAGGTGCTGCTGTCTGTTGTCTTGGTATTGATTTGGAGGCCAACAATAGAACCGAGTGACATCAGCAATTTGATTATTTGTGGAACATCAAGATAAGTCAGCAAGCACAGACTGTATAAGCCCAGGGCACATGTGAGGTAAAAACTTTACGGTATGTTTAATATACAGAAGAGGGAAAATTAAAGGAATAGCCTGAATGAAAGAGCAGAGAAGCATAACACATGTGGACACTTCCAAACAAGGCACAAAAGCTCACTGATGAAAATCATATGAATCATCCTCTGTGACCTCCAGTCACCAGATCTGAACCCAGCTGTATGAGATTATGGATAGCAACACCACGTCAATCAAGCCAACCAAACAGTTTTATGGTAAAACCTAGTCATTTCACAGTCCCTGAAAACTTGGTCTCAGATTTCTTTATAAATTCAACAAATAATCAAACAACAGTCAAAAATATGCAACATATATTATGGAATCTGACTCAAAGTCTTGAATATAAGTCTTGAGGACTTTGCTAACATTTTGTTATCAATGTTTCTACATCAGTGTAGCCAAAGAGACAACAAGCAACAAGTTATAGTCCACCTAGAGGAGGTGTACACATGTCATTGCATAATTAGTTTTGCAAGAATTCCAAAGATGGGAGTGCCACAGGTGGTGTCCTGTTAGCAAACTCCCAACATCCTGCAAGAAATAAAAACACAGAGATAAATATAAAACCTAGAGTAAATACATACCTGCTCAGTGAAAACAAAGCAGTTAATGGAACTGAGAGTTCACATAATATTATCCATTATCAATATATGGGAGTGTCTGAACTTTGCATTCAAATATTTGCACAGCTGCAATAATTACAATTGGACTTCCCTCTTGCACGGTCTGCAGGCATCCTGTCAGCTTCTAAATGTCACCCTATCTTTATATGTTTACATGGTTTTAAATGAGTACATTTATAGATTTAATAAAGACATTAAACACAACTGGTCAACAGTGCTCACTACTGCGTCGCAGGTTTATTCAGGCTTATTCTGTATAAAAATGTCCAGAACTAAAAAGAGGAGCCAGTACAGCTCTGCCAAAGGACTCCTCCTTTGGCTCCATTGATCTGTTGACTTTCCTCATGACTTTCTCAGTCATTAGTTTCAAGGTTTTTTTTACAGAATATAATGTCTATATGGATTTGCTTTACAACATCACATATTATAAAACTGTAGCTTTGTCAGGTTGGCTGTGGCTACAATGTAGCTTGCCATCACCAGTGTGTGAATGTGTGTGTGAATGGGTGGATGACTGGATATGTAAAGCACTTTGGGGTCCTTAGGGACTAGTAAAGCGCTATATAAATACAGGCCATTTACCATTTACCATTTCTCATTTAGGGCCACACCTCGCTCATCACATACGGTTTCAATAAAAGAACAAACAACATAGCAAAATGTAACACTTAGAGTGGCTACTTGCATCTTTTATTTACAGTCAATGGTGACAGAGTAATGACAACTCATGCTTATGCACTGATGAAAAGAATGAACAATTATAGAAAAAAAACCTTGATTTTCCAGTGTTTTTTAAAATTGTATTTACTGTCTTTCTCTTTCTGCCTTTAACATCAATCCCCCCTGACCATCTGAGAGCCATAATGCACCACAGCAGTTAAATAATTATGTTTAGGTTGTTTGCCTAAGTTTAATATTAGTATCAAGAGTTTGGATTTTTTTTAGGAGGTTGAATTTGGATGAACTGTGAGAGGAATTTTTCTTGTGGCAAGACATCAAAGGTGCATCAGATGACTGTCTGCTTGACTTCCTGACCTAAATATGATTCTTCATGTACCAAGGAGCGATCTCGTGTAGAGAAAATATTATTCCATTATGGCCAATTATCGAAGGGAACATTTAGTCTTCAGTTTTGTACACAAAGAGCATTTTGTGCAGTGTAATGTGAATTTGGTTAAGTACTTTTAGTTTAAATATATTTTTCTGGTTTCTTTCATCCAAGTAAATTTAGATATTGATGAAATATGGTGAAATCAGATTTGGGGACGAGTTGATATCCAGACAGCTCACTCTGATGAGAACATGTGAAACTGTAGCTTAACCATCTGCATATTTGGTGCCACTGTGTTTTGATTGGTTCAGTATGAGTCAGAGTGGTTTAAGACATGCATTTGCTTTCATAGCATAGATGTGAGCAGTACCATTTAAACCATTAAGTGTCCAGTACTTTCATGTTTTGAAAACTATACATTTTTTGTAATGTTCCTTACGTTTTGTGTTATTTTGGGGTTTGTTTGTTTTATGAATTAATATTTCTTAATTCTGCCTCTATATGTACTTTCATTTATTTCTTCCTTTCTTTCTTAGATCACTGACATTAACAGACGGATGTCAGCAATTGAGACTCTTCTGAACCGCTTGGAGCAGAAAGTCACCTCAACATATGACCAGGTAAATCTATCAGGTGTCAAGAGTACAGCTGCCAAAATTTCATGATCAGCATCTCAGCAGCAGCCTAGAAAGAAATGAGTGAAGCTTAAAAGACTGAAAGAACCTGTTTACATCTATAAAGCCATGGTTAGAGACACTGTGTAGTATTTTAGCATAACAATGTACAGACTAGCGGATTTTCAAATCACTTAAAGCCTAAATTTACATTAAAATAGTTAAGACAAATTACATCTATTTTATTTTATTTTTATAAATAATTTTCTATTTTGAATTTGATGCCATGCCAGTACCAGCTAAAAGTGCACACAAACTTCACTTTTATTAAGTCACAATTTGTCAGGGTCATGGTTATACTTGTTATACCGCCCTCAAGTGGCCAAAACAATCAGTGCAACTTTAAGACAAACACACTTGATGTACCTGCATGAAAACTTGATTTTTTTGAAGGTATTTTCTTTCAAATAAAGAAAACTAACTCATTGTTCATGCATTGTGCTAAAGAAAGGAGACACACACTTACTCATATTTCATCATCCTCTAATCAAATGTGGGATCTCAGTGGGTTCAGTGTCTGTCTTTAATTGGGCCGTGAGCTCTCAAACCCACATCAGTATCATCACAGACTGAGCCAAGCCGCAAAAACAGCAAACCAGAAACGAATGTAGAATTTAGACTCAGTCGCTAATTAGTGGCTATTCAACTTCAAGTGAGAGCAGCAGTTGATTGACTCATGCTTTTCCTCTTTTTCTTGTGGCAAAGCACAGCTTAAATCAATTTGCATATATCTTATGTTCTGACTGTTCTGTCTGCACGCGATAAGTCTGCATTAATGTCCATGTGATCAGTGAAGGAAAAACAGAGTTCTTGTGCTTTCAGACATCCATGTTCCAGTTCTTGTTTAGGATCATTACCGAGTGGTCAGAACACAGCTGGACAAATGAATGTGTCTATTGTAATCGGTACACTAAGCTCTGCCCACTTTCTGTTGTATCTGTCTATTCTATTCGAATACTCCACATAAATAAGAACTACAGGTACAACAGATGCACAATCTTCCAGTTGAAAATCGTTGAATGATACATGAGAAATTCAAATGATAACCCTATATGCGTGTTCTGAACATGCTAGGTTAGAGGTTAGGACTTATAGACCCTAGTTTAAGTCTAGCTAAGGATCCTTGTTACATCTTCACAGTCACACATTGGTTAGAAATGACACTTGTCTTTCATGCAAACTGAAAACAAGTTGTTATGGATCTATGAATCTCCTAAAGCAAGAATATCAGTTGAGACGATAGCAATTTATCTTAGCGACTTTCTAGTTTGTAGTGAGATTAAGACAGATTTGTTTCTGTGAGGGGCCAAGCTGGCCATCTCTCACTGCAGCACAGAGACTCTGCTCTCAGTGATAGTGCTGGAGAAAAGTTTGGTTACACTTTACTAGGCCTAAATGCTGACAGTGCTCATTGCCACACATGCAACAAGGTTTTTGCACATGTGGAAAAAATTTCGAGCATCCTGTGGCACTCCCCGTCACTGTTGTGGGTATGTCTGTATGAAGCAGTGAAGCAAAGTGATGTAAAACTATGTCTAAATGAAGTGATGGAGCCACCAAAGGGGTTTGCGTTTAGCCTTTTCATGAGCAAAACAATGCTAGTGTGCTATTATACATTAGGCACCAATCAGATCAGATTAAAGCAGTGCTCTCGTGTTTGCAATGTGAAGCATTTGTCAAAATAATATTTGTAAGTGAATAATAGATAGAAGATGGTTGATTGGAAGTCAGGGGAAATCCTGCAAAGTTTCCCTCAAATCCAACGAGTATGTTAGGTTATAATTACATGGACTGTACCCGAGGCCACCAAAGTACACTGCAGTCTGTTTGTTTTTGGCCTGGAAAAGAAAACTGGAGTATGAAAACAGAAAAACATAATCAGTGATGGAGCACTTGTGTATTATACATCATGCATTCACTCTAGCAGTACATTTTAAATCAGTATAACAATTCCCATTAGGTTGACGATCCAGTCATTCAAGATCCAAAGTAAAAACATTAACCGTATGCTGTGTAGATTTGTCTCAGTCACATTGTCTGTGCTTTGTTCCCAAACAGACTTCTCCCACTCCCAGCAGCACCTCTCCTCTTCCTCAGTGGAACGAAGTGGACCTGGAAGAGCAGCAGCTAAGACAGAGGTTGCACGAGATGACAGACAATATCAGTGACCATAGCCTGACCTCTGATGATGAGGACGAGCCCGAGAGACCACATTCCTCCCAAGAAATCCTAGCATGGAGGAGCCCACAGGCGGATCCAAGGCCTTCCAAACTACCTATCAGACCAACATCCAGAGCCAGCATCGTGGTCTCCAGGCTCGAGGAGGAGCAGCCTCAGCAGACAGAATCTCTGAAGGTACAAATTCTGTGGCATTTTTATAAGAAATCAGTTTTTTTTTTATGTACGCGCAAGCATTCATTACCAGTTTGTTTACTGACAGAAAGAGACATAAGCCGTGAGCATCTGGCTTGCTGCACTTACTAAAAACAGCATGGCTCATGAAATTCCAGCCGACCTCTGCTGGAAATCGGTTCAAGTGCACACTGGAATCATAAATCAAGTCACTCAGGCCTTGGGTTTATTTTTCGTCTGCAACCATCACTCCCAGATTGTCGGAAAAAGAAGACGAATTAAATTAATAACTTCTGCTTAGCTGCCATGCTAAGTTTCCTCAACTGTTTTCACTGGCAGTTCCTTCCATTTAAGCTGCAGTGCACTGATGAGTCATGATGTTTTCACATCACTTCACTACAAGTTTGTTCAGCCAGCATTAGCTCAATTAATTTAATGTATTTAAAGTATCAGGTAACACTGGCTTTTAGTATCAGGAAAATGGACGTGGGACCAAACTTATTGAGCCGGTGGTCACGAGGAAGAACTGCAGATTTTGGTACATTTGATTTTACATAATTTTTCAGACCCCACTGTAAGCAGGTACCAATCAAGTGGCACCATTTAGCTATCACATAATTTGTTAACATGACATCATTTCAAATTTCATTAAGTTTTTTTGTTGTTGTTTTTTTTTTTTACCTGAAAATGAAAATTTTTGCTTTCTGACTGGACTTGTCTTCCAGGCTAATGACTCCTCTGAAAGCCTGGAGAGGAAGGGTCACCCCCTAGAGGAGGGATCAAAGGCAAGCTTCAAAGGATCAACTGCATTACTGGTTGAACTGGAAGACAAAGTAGCTCAAGCAGCAGCTAATGTCCAGAATGCCCAGAGTGAGGTGAGGGTTACATTAAAGGCTAAGTAAAGTTTGATTTGTATTGAAAATGCAAAGAGATGTAAAGTTGTGGCACATCCTGTCATTTCTTTCTTTTTACTCCAAGGTGTCTGACATCGAGAGCAGGATTGCTGCCCTGAACGCTGCCGGCATGTCCTCGGATAAAAAAAGAAAGGTAACACCATTATATCACTGAGTTTCATATCCAAAACTGTTATGACAGAAAACATTTGCTTATACAAAACCCTTTTATGTTTGTGTGAAATCAAACAAGTGGACACAGGCGTCATTCTTAGAGCCAACGTGTTTTCTGTTATTATGTGGCACGATGGTCTTTGATTTGCCTCTCAAAATAACCACAGATGTGATTTCTATGAGTAGGTCTGCCTGTGATGAACATTTGTAAAGCATCGAGGTGCCAGAATGCTAATAGAATAAAAGTTTTCCCACATCCTAAATTTATGTTTTTTCTCCTTGCCTTCTGCTTTGTCTTGCAGTCCGCAATCCCGATCCAAGCCAGACTTTCCTACAACTTTCCCACAAGTAAGAACTGACACTGCTGCCCCTGAGATCGATCCCCAGGGCATCACAGCTAACTCAGAACATCTTAACCTTTTGAAACTTAGAACACATGATGAGCTGCTCTATAACTCAGTGAACACTGTGTCCTCGTTATACTATGGCTTTAATTTTCCCAGCTGGATAGCACTTCATCTGATTCATTGAGTGGAGACTTACCATGTGTCTTGTACTTTAAACAGTATTGTGTTTTTTTGTTGTTTTTATAAAGAATAGGGAGTATATCTAATTTTTTAGCATATTATGTTATTTTTTTTATCTTTCTTTGCTACTGAAAAGTTCTTTTTAGGCCAAATTCAAGTCAAGTGCTTTTGTAACCTGCTGTTGGACTTGGTGCCAGTTGTTATTTAAAGTTTATAGAGTGTTTCTAATTTACTTTCCCATCAAAGTTTTCCAATAAGCTTATTTTCAGCATCCCACATCTGGGATTTTGAAACATCACATTTGTTTCTAACTATTAGATTCTGGACTGAATCCCAAAAAGAGCCATAATTTGACTTTTAACTGTGCTTTGATAAAATAGAGCCTGTAGAATACAATGTACAATGCAGCTGATGTATGTTTCCAGACCAGGTGGACAGGTTTACCAGGAACTCCCTCTACAGGGGCTCACTGACACAGAGGAACCCAGTGGCAAAGGCCAAGACCAGGGCTGCCTGTGCGGTATGACCCCACCCTACGGTGCTGGGTGCTGTGAAGAGTTCAATTCCCAAACTACATAAGTGCCATTTGGAGAAAAAAAAAAGTGCTGCAACAAAACTGGCATTCGATGCTTACCAATTTTTTTTTATGTGAGAAGACTGATTCCACTGTCATAGTTAATTTTACATTAAGTTGGGAGATCTATAGCCGTGAAGCTAAATTTGAATGTGTACTGTGATGATATTTTTTAACTTTATCTTGTGGTTGTTACAACTTCCTGGATACGTTTAGGAAAAGCAACATATTTAGGTTCAGGTAAAGGTCCGAAATGTAAAAATCAATGTGGAAACATGCGGCTGATTTATCTGAAGGCCACCAGATGGCAATTGGAGTGGTTGCAACAAAACACTCCACTACTAGACGTCTATAGGAAAACAGATTTCTCTCTCTGGAAATAGTTTACTGCTGAGTTTATGGGCTCAGTCACTAATTTTGGGTCATATTGAATAAAAAGATTAAGTCTGCTTGTGTATATATAGGTAATACAAGGTTTCAAAATTGAAAATTATGTGTGGTATCAAAGCCGATTTATGAAGTTATGAATCACAAGTGATTAGCCAATGAGCAGTCACAGTCAGGCCTGCCCTTCCTCGTCGCATCCTATTTTTTTGCAAAACATGCACATTTTGAGGCTTCAGAAAAGGTCGACATAAAGCAGTGGGTGACTAATCACACTGATCTTTTATACTAAAATACGTTTTTATACAGTAATCGATCCAGGCTGGGGTTTAATACCACCTTTAAAAAGTCAAATCCCTGCTTGTGCAGTCTCCCTTAATTACTCAGTCAGATCCAGCCCTCACTTTCAGAAAGCTTAATTCAAGGTTTTTGTAACTTGTCAGTCAAAAAAAGCTGCTTTGTAAACCTGCTCACTGTGCATTTTGTCCCATGTCATGAATGAATATGGATAAATAAAAAAACAAAATAAAGTGAAACGAGACTCCATCTGAAGGTGAGGATGCTAGAGATGCTCCTGAGCTGCTCCAGTGGATTTGTGCAAAGTTTAAGGATCCATGAAAGTGGATATCAATCTTCTCAACTAACCTCCATCACAAAACGTGGATTCATGCATTTTCCCAAATGTGAATAAAAATTCCTTTAGTAAAATGCCTTGAATATCAGGAATGAACTCTTCACGTGCTGATCACACCAGGCTTTCACTGCTTGTTTGATTTGAGCTGCTGGTGGTTTCTAGCTTTGTGGTGTTTTGAAATAATTTCATTTTTTAACGCATTTCCTGCTTTTTTTCCCCCAATCAAGTGCACACGTTCACATTTCCTGAATCATGTTTTTGTTGGTAAAGGAAAGAGTTAAATCTCATACTGGGTTAAAATTACTTTGTCTGAAATTAAGTGCATACGCTGGGATGTTTGATTACACAATATAATGGTGGAAAATCTCAGGGTAATTTTGATAAGAGAGAAAAATAATGGCATCAGTGATTATGTGGCTGTTTTGAATAATATAATTGGCTTCCTGCTTGAAGAAATATGCATGTCTGCATTACACTTTGTCTCTGAGTTGAAGGTACCTAAAGTCAATGATAAGAATTTTAAAAAGAGCCAGAAACAATATTTTCTGAGGCCTCCCTTGTTAAGAAAAAAAATGTGAACCTTAAATCACAGGAGGTTTTTTTGGGGTTTTTTTTACTTTTATCACTGTAGGAGCCTCATCCAGTAAAATATATCTCATTTTCAACACAGCGTATCGTCCAGTGTTCATGTCACGGTCTGGCTGGCAGACCGTGGGGATGTGGGGGAATGAGGACCCAAAACGCATGGTTCTGCGATGCAAACAGTGCACTTTATTTACAGTGAAGGCTGTAAACACAATAACTCCCCGATGCTCCCTTGAATCCCGTGTGTGTGCTCCCCTCCGACGTCTGTGCTCGTGCTCCCCGCTGTTGTGTTCTCGCACACCCTGTGCGTGCTGCCGTTCTGGTCCACTCTTCCACCTGGAGGGAAAACCACAAAAACAGCCATCAACACCAACCCCGGCGGGCATACACGAACTGCACCGTTGTACGCTGACTGACTGACTGACTGACTGACACGCACGCACACACACACGCACACACACACACTTGGGTAGACAACTCAATGATTCCGCGCCAGTGGGAGCTCCAACACTCTCCTAAGTAGCTCCCCCGACGAGCCCTGATCACCAACAGATGTGTGGCAGGAACTTCAGGTGTGGCCAGTCCTCCTGCAGGGCCACACCCATACCCTGCCTGTACATATAATGAGTAGAACACCGAACAACACAGCATAGTGCAGAAAAACACACATTCCCAAATAATAACAACAACACTAATAATAATAATAATAACGGTCCATCCTGCTCACGGACCCCCGAGTCCTCCAGAGCCGGGTCCGTGACAGTTCAGCAGTCCTCAACCTAGTCATAGCCAGAGCAACCCCAATATGAACACACTGTAATTTGATCAGTGCTCAGCTTTTGCTCTACACACTGTTATACTTTGCAGAAGCATTATAAAGCATGTAAAAACGTGCTTATTTTCTCTTAAAAGTGGACATATTCTGCCTTTCCTTATTTTCTGTAATTAACATCATATACATCCAGGTGTTTGACTTCATATTAAATATGCCCCGAGTTTGTAATAATGTGGTCCGCATGTGTATAAATAATCCCTGTAACACAAAAGCTCAAGCTTCAGACACCTCTAACCACTGTTTCTAACAGTTTTTTTCTACTTTTGGCTCTGTATGATGTCATGGAGAAAGAATGTCCCTAATTTGGTCATCTCAGACACAGAAGCCCCACCCACCTGCTTTTCAGATCTTTACCAGAAAGCTGTCTTATGCTACAGCGACAGTGGGTCCACTTTGCTTTTATATATGAATATACAACCAGCTGTCAACCAGTTGGGTTGAATCCCCATTGCAACAAGATGCATTGCTGAAAAATCAAAGTGACTGAAGCTAATTACAATTGTTTACCAAATGCATACAAATACAGTTCGATCAAAGCCCAACCACTGAATTCGCCTATTGACATGAGGTTTCCGCCGTCTTTTAACTTCAGTGTGGCTGAGGCATTAGCAGGAGGGTGGTCTTAAAAGGACAACAGCTGAAGTAATTTGTTTCAGACAGACAATGAACTGGCGGGACCGAGGCTCATTAGATAAATAAAATAAACAAGATGAACAAAAAATATTTTAAACTGTGATTCACACAAAGCTACCCAAGTAGAATCTAAGAATAAAACTATGCAGTTGGAAGTGAGCATCATAGGTCCACTATACTACGCTGTACATCTGTTGTCAATTTCGTGTTCCTTTCTTCAAGCCTGAGTAATCATTCACAAACCTCACAGCTTGCATAATGGCTCATAAGTCATCAGCAGGTTTATAAATATTTCTAACATGTACTAAACACATATTGATCTTTTGTCTCGATTGCTTTGAAACAGTGATTTCATTAACCCAATCAAAGCATTAAATGGCTGATAATACTAGTCAATCAATATTTTTGTCTCGCTTTTCTTGCAGAAACCAGTAATGACCCAGGGCTCATGAGGAGGAGGCTGAGTGTTATCTGACTGACAAGTCTTTCAGTTATTACATAATGCTTTACACACTGGAACTGAGCAGCAAAACATGAACTATTCACAAAAGGCGTGTTTTTGTTCTTTGAAACAAATGCATTTGAACTGACACGTGGCAACCAACAAACGGAGATCAGAGATCAATCAGTTATCTTTTCCTGAACATAGTGCAGTAGTTTATGTTGCCTAGACATAACAATGTAGTTTTGGAAATTTAACCAGAATCCAAATTAAATCCCTTTAAAGCTGGAGAAACATGACTTTGTGTACATATGAATAAGAATCTTAAATATGATATCAGACTGATGAAAAATCTTGTTCATGAAATTCATGTGCGGTTACACGGAAGTATATAAAATTTCATGAGGAACTTAGAAATTGCCGTACGACTATGTTGGTTTAGGTTTCCCACATAAATTGCAGAACTTGTCAAATGAGCAGTGGAACAGTGGGTCTTCTAATCTTCTTACATTTATCTTTAAAAGGTGTGTTTTTGATATTGCTGTTGTTTTACAGGGCTAAATCCATAAAGTATGTTACACGTGACATGCACTAACATCTGCCTCTAAGTATAAACATTTACAGAATTTGTATACACTAACATGCAAGTTAACACATGCATTTGCCTTAATGCGCAAAAGCACTGATTGTACTAATCTGGAATTTATAACTGGCTAATTCATCGTTGTGGATAAACCGAAATATGCATTGCGTGCTTTAAATGCAGTTTCAGCAAACAGAATCAAGCCAGTGAAAAAGAGGTGCAAATCCGAACTGTAAATCAGTTTGAATTAGTCTGAAATTTTCACACACAAAAAAACATATAGATAAATGTATATTTTTTATATATTTTTTAAAAGTTCTATTATTAATAATCTACGGTGTGTTGGAAAGTTTAATTGATTGTAAAATTAAACTGATGTCACAGTGAGAAGAGCAGGTCTGATGTGATTGTTTTATAATATATGACATTTATGTAAGTTAATGAATAAAATGTATACGGAATATATAGAAGTACACACTGTATGCATTATGGTGTTGGAAAATATTTTTATATTGGATTAATAAATCATGCACATTCATTTTTAACTAAATCTTTGAAATCAATATTTTTATGTAATCTCAGCATATATGGAAAAATTAATTATAAGTGCAATTAAATATGCATCTTTTTTGTCTTTGAGGAGTTATAGTGAGTGAGAGAAGTCAAAACATTGTACTGCTTGTCAGATTTCAAGGTTTTTATGATAAGTTGGAATTTCCATCATTCACTAATTTGTCACTTATTGTAAAATTTTAGCTGGAGCATCTTTGTTGACCATAATTTATAGGTTCAACATTATCGTGTATTCAATAACATCTGAAACTAAACACATCAGAAGAGTGTTTACTGAGATCGTGGCCTTTAGAAGGAATGTGGGTTGACTTCGATTTCACGTTTCAAACTTGGAAGCTATGTCCATCTTCTATATACAGTCTGCAAGGAGAGATTACTCGCCTAGCTTGGACTAGCTAAATATTGATACTATATTCCAATTAAGCTAACTGATCCCCAGAAGTCCTACACACTGCCCTTTCAGTTGAATTTATCCAAACCTTTGAAAACAGCAGTGTTTATTTATAGGCTGTACAATGACATGTCTTCGGAGATGACAAAGAATGTATCCATGATGTAATGATAAACTGGGTGTGCACTGTGTAAATAAATGCATATGCTTTTATAAAGGGCTGGAGACTGAACGATGCGAGGAGGTTCACAGCCTGTGAGCTTCACAGTCACAGAATTGCTTTACTTTATGTATTACAGTTTAAGATCACCATTTGTAGCCACTGGAGAGAGAAACTGACAACACGTATTTATTTGACTTTTTTATTGATTTGATTTATTTACTTTTCTGAATCACCATAAAGATTGTTTCAAGCCTGTGTTAAATTATCACTTTAATTGAAATTATTTGCACCACTGGTCTTATTAAATTATTTACAAGCTAAACTGTTGTTTTCTGTCCTTTTTTAGCCATTGGCGTAGATTATTGTATCAAGCAGCAGCTTTCATATCAGTATAATCCAATCAAAACCTTAACAAGTCACACCTTTGCTCTTGGTTCAGAGCTTTTTCATAGTGCCTCTTTGTTAACTGAATCTCCAGGGAAGGTTTTATCTCTGCGCTATGGAAAGAACAATTTAAATAGAAATATACAACAATCCCACATTTAAACGTTGCATTAACTTTGTATATTTGTATATTTTTGATTAACTTCATGACATCTAAGTTAAAATAATAAAAAGCACTAAATAACCAGTAACAAAAAGCTTGGTAAGACTATAGCAGCTCATTAAAATAGATTATGACAAAACGAAATAGCTCAATTAGGTTCAACCCAAAAAAGCTCAACTAAACAGAACAAAAGACAATATAACTTTTAACTAAAATTCTAGATGCAATAAAATAAAATGTCTATGTAGCGTTTGATTTTTTGATTTTTGATTTTTTTTAAAAAGATCAACTGTGGGCTCCAACAGAAGAAAAACCTCCAAGCTGATTGTTGTGTTGACTGAAAGCTGTGCTGCCATTCTTGCACGTGCATGCACTACATATTCTTCCTGAAAGGTGGGTGACATCAGCATATCAACATACCGCTGCCCCTCCTGCTGCATATAAAGAAATGATGACACAGCTGATAAACTGACACCCGGAGAGACCCAGACCTGAGAAGCACAACCCCTTTATAGATCAGGTGAGAAGAATCTGAACACTCTTTCTCTTGTAGTCTTATTTCAAGCCATAAATTTATTTTTCTTGCCTTTCCTGCCCAGACAAAGTCCTACACCTGTTTGCGTCAGCTGACTCTTACTGGGACGTAGCAAAGCAATCATTGAAGTTTGGTTCTGCAGGTCAACATGTTTCGAAACGGTAAGTCTTCACATGTGTTCAGTATCTCTATTATGCCTTTCAGTTGCAAAACCAAACTGAGGATTGTTTGGCTCTGCAGTAATGCAACCATGTGATTAAGACAAAGTAGAGCCAGAGAGTCTGAGTAAGAGAAAAACGGGGGGAAAACTGCTTAAGCATCAGATGTGTTATTTTTGACTGATCCAATCTGCTGATTACATTGTTTGCTTTCCTTGATCCAGAGTTTACTCGTTCTTCATGCTGTTTTCAAACAACAGTAGAAAACCAGTTATGCCATTCGCTTTGAGGCCATGGAGTAATTAAACTTAATCTAAAGTTGGCTGTGGAAACTTTGATTGAATTTCCATAATATGCAGAAGTGCAGCTCAATCAGTAATTATATTTTCCATTTGTGTCAAGTGATGCTTCTTTGTATAAGCAACAAATTGACAAACCCAGCATAACGGTACATGTGTGCTTTTTTTCTGCTGCAGATGGAGCTAAAATGAGGGTGTGTGTGATGCTGTTTGTTGTCTTGCTGTTGAATGGAACTCTGAGTGAATCTCAGAGAGATGGCTCTGTCATTATTAGAGGTAAGGGTTCCCCTAACTACCCTTATCATTATGTTATTTATCCATGACTTTTTATTATTTCTGCTTTTCTTTGTTCTTATTTGATTTAAATTTCCATGTTTGTCAGTCAAAAAAAGCTACTTTGTAAACCATAGAATCATTTTGGAATCTTGTCGAGAAAAATATATATGCATTTAAAGCAGTACAGAGGTTAGAGTTGCAGTTAGAGGAAGGCAAGCGGAGACTATGATACATCCCCAACCCCTGCAAAGAAAATTAAAATCAATAAATAAAATAAAGTACAAATAAATCGTCCTTCACAAACTGGACCAGATTAAAACATACCACTCTCACAGCCTCTTGCTGCATTTTTCTTGGCTGTAGAAATATATAAATGTTATTGCTACTATACTTAACTCTATTTACAATTTGCTAACAGTGACAATTAGTTTCTTAACTTAAATATCTTGGCTGTGGAGGTTACTAAGAGAAAACTTTGAGAGTGGTCCTCTGTACTCTCAAAACACTGCTCAAAACTGAAGTCAGAGCAGGGAAAGCAGAGACAGCAGCAGGTTTTTCTAACATGCTAGTGTCCCATCAGTCTCCCATCAAAAGCCAGATTTTTATCTACAATGTGTAAACAGCTAGAAAAAGCTGCTGGCCTCACAAGTTGACAAGCTACGGACATTGTTAAGAAGACACAGAGATGCCTGTGAGATGCCTACCCTATAGAGATTTCATTCACTCCGTAATCAAGCTGAATTTATTCAGCTTCCAGAGACAACAGCCAGCTGTGGTCACAAGGTGGCAGTGATGTAAAGAGTGGATCCAAACAGACATGGGAGAAGCATTATGACAGAAACCTGTCTGACATGAAAGGAGAGATATGTTCACTTCATTTTTGTATTTCACTTAAAAAGCAGTGCTTGCCCTGCTTATCCTGATTGAACACCACTGATTTAACACACTATGATGTAGCGGTAAGTGAGGTGCAAAAATAAGTCCTACTATTAGAAATGCACAAGTCTAAGTTCTGTCTTACAGATCAAGTGCAACCATCCCCATATCTGACAATCTTGTAAACATCTTGGATGTCTGGAGTTTTGATCTCCTCCATACCTGCTTCATGCCCTGGAGGACGGGGCTGTGGCCCCCCCACACCCTCTAGCAGATCATTACATGAAGGAACCTTTTAAAAAAACAAGCGCGTCCATGCTCACAGGTGTACACACGGGTGATCACACCCACAAACTACACCCTTTTTGGCTCCTACCTCAAAGCACACTGTGTTCTGTTGATCTTATGTGCTGCACAATAATGTTTAATATTTAGTATTTACTGTCATATTCCCATATATCATTGTGATGTTGTTTATTCTATTACTCTTGTTCTCTTCTGCTTGTTTTCTTTTTTCTTTCTCAGCAGGTGATCCAGGTGATTGATATATGGATTTTTTATTTTTTATTTTTTCCTGCTCATTCTGTTGGTTTTTGTTTTTTGCCCTTCTCCCCCGTCCCTCTTCTCAGCTGTTTCTCTTTCCCTCTTTCTTTCTCCCCTTCTTTCCCCCAGTCAAGTCTGTCCCATATTCAGTAAGTGAAAATAAAAGAAACAATAAAAGGTGAATCAAATGGACCATTACGGCAAGGCTGGGATGGTCAATTTGGTAAAGTAAATCCGTTGGGCATCTTTCTTTGCCTTTAGACAACAATTCTGATGGCAAAAGAGCCAAACGGGACAGGCAACAAAAAAAAAAGACAATCCTGTAAACATCCAACTGGCAAGTTTCACGTAGGGTACTGATTTCAGCTGCTTTAGCCTTGCAACAGTTGCTGCATATTTCCTTTGCGACCCACCTCCACCACAGCTCCTGGAGTTGATGCTGCATTTTTCCAATGCCTCGTATCTGTTGTCATTGAAGAGCAGGAAAGTCCAAGAATAGAACTATACCACCATATAAATTACTAGATGTGGAAATATCATTCTTTTTATGACAGTTTGGCCCTGACTAAATTATATTAGTGCTGCCAGAGTTAATCTCGTTAAAATGACGTCAACGCCACATTAACGCGGCAAATCTCCGTTAGCGAGTTTGTGCGGATCACCCCGTGCCAGGGGCTGCACGGCGCTAATGCGTTTTACATGCTAACAACACTAACGCATTGATGCCATGCAGCGTTTAACGAGATTAATGCTGACAGCACTCATTTTTGCAGAAGTAAAAAAAAATCTGAATGGAGTAAGTTGACAGATTGGAATAGGGATGGTGAGCTACTGTAATATTCTATATTTCACACTACGACGCTGTCAAGAACAGAGTAACTGTAATCTCTCTTTTTCTTAACTTAACATCAGACAATACATCAAGCCTGTCTGACCTGCTTAAGTGGTCTATTTCTGATGGTGTTGGTCATTTCAGTGGCAGTAAGAGCAAAATTTATTCAGACATTAAAAAGTTGTCAGTCTGAGGCAAAGACTGAATGTCAGTTGTCTCTGCAGTAATCTCCAATAAACAAGTGTGTACCCAGTTTACAGTAATTGAATTCAGTTTGTATTTACATGCGCAATAGCGGTGGAGTTTCAGTTGCTTTTATAGAGAGAATGGGACATGATGATATGATGATTTAAAAAAATATTTAAATGTCAATTTAACCAAAAACAGAAACAAAAAAATATGAACAATGTTTTATTTATTTTTATCCAGTGTTTTTATTTTTCAAATAGCATTTTCTATGCTAAAAGACTACAAAAAACATATAAATTTTGCTTTGCAAATGAACGTTCAAGAAACAATCATAGATCCAAAACATTTGACAAAATATGTTTTGTGCAATCTTCAGTGTGACTCTTTCTGAATGAGATCCAGCCACTCATATAACAATCTGGCATAGTTTTAGCATGTTCCTTTCCAGCCTTCTTAAACTGTGACATGTGCCACATTTTAAGGTTTAAGCAATTATTCTCGAGCGTCATAGTTTTTTGTTTGGGGACTTGTGAAATTCAAATTGATTTTCTTCAGCTTGTCATCTGTCTTTTTTTTCTCTTTTGTTTTTGCATCTGTGTTGCTCAGATCCAGATATCAGTGCCTCCTGGTACACAGGCAGGGGGATCAGACCCCTTGGGAGATTTGGTCGAAAAGCTGCAAGAAGAAATGAACTTCTGGCTTTCATCACAGCGAGAGTTTATAGACCAACAGCTGACAGTGGCGTTTGGATCACACAATGAGAACACTGTGGATCATTGAATAGCTGCTATGCTCTCATTTTTTTAGGTTAAGTAATGGAATTGGTCTTAGATTTAGGAGTTTTCTAACATTACATTCAGTTATTTTCTGTAAATTCTGTATAAATAATTTGTGTTTTCTGCTCTACAAGCATGGGGATAAAAGAACATATGTAAGAAAAGCAACATGTAAAGTTGAAAGTGTTACAATTAAAGGAATCCATGAATTAATGGAACATATATTCTGACCTGAGACTGAAAAGGTTTGATCAATAATGAAATTGTTTGTTTTATGATAATGGTCTATGACAGAAATGCTCCAACAAGAACTGACAACAAAACTGGATGAAGGCACCATGTAATACAGATACTCTTCATACAGTGGCTTGCAAAAGTATTCGGCCCCCTTGAACTTTTCCACACTTTGTCACATTACAGCCACAAACATGAATCAATTTTATTGGAATTCCACGTGAAAGACCAATACAAAGTGGTGTACACGTGAGAAGTGGAACAAAAATCATACATGATTCCAAACATTTTTTATAAATAAATAACTGAAAAGTGGGGTGTGCGTATTTATTCAGCCCCCTTTGGTCTGAGTGCAGTCAGTTGCCCATAGACACTGCCTGATGAGTTCTAATGTCTAAATAGAGTGCAGCTGTGTGTAATCTAATGTCAGTACAAATACAGCTGCTCTGTGATGGCCTCAGAGGTTGTCTAAGAGAATATTGGGAGCAACAACACCATGAAGTCCAAAGAACACACCAGACAGGTCAGGGATAAAGTTATTGAGAAATTTAAAGCAGGCTTAGGCTACAAAAAGATTTCCCAAGCCTTGAACATCCCACGGAGCACTGTTCAAGCGATCATCCAGAAATGGAAGGAGTATGGCACAACTGTAAACCTACCAAGACAAGGCCGTCCACCTAAACTCACAGGCCGAACAAGGAGAGCGCTGATCAGAAATGCAGCCAAGAGGCCCATGGGGACTCTGGACGAGCTGCAGAGATCCACAGCTCAGGTGGGGGAATCTGTCCATAGGACAACTATTAGTCGTGCACTGCGCAAAGTTGGCCTTTATGGAAGAGTGGCAAGAAGAAAGCCATTGTTAACAGAAAACCATAAGAAGTCCCGTTTGCAGTTTGCCACAAGCCATGTGGGGGACACAGAAAACATGTGGAAGAAGATGCTCTGGTCAGATGAGACCAAAATTGAACTTTTCGGCCAAAATGCAAAACGCTATGTGTGGCGGAAAATTAACACTGCACATCACTCTGAACACACCATCCCCACTGTCAAATATGGTGGTGGCAGCATCATGCTCTGGGGGTGCTTCTCTTCAGCAGGGACAGGGAAGCTGGTCAGAGTTGATGGGAAGATGGATGGAGCCAAATACAGGGCAATCTTGGAAGAAATCTTGGAGTCTGCAAAAGACTTGAGACGGGGGCGGAGGTTCACCTTCCAGCAGGACAACGACCCTGAACATAAAGCCAGGGCAACAATGGAATGGTTTATCACAAAACATAGACAAGATCTAAATCCAATCGAGAATCTGTGGCAAGATCTGAAAACTACTGTTCACAAATGCTGTCCATCTAATTTGACTGAGCTGGAGCTGTTTTGCAAAGAAAAATGGGCAAGAATTTCAGTGTCTAGATGTGCAAAGCTGGTAGAGACAGCTGTAATTGCTGCAAAAGGTGGTTCTAAAAGTACTGACTCAGGGAGCTGAATAATTATGCACACCCCACTTTTCAGTTATTTATTTGTAAAAAATGTTTGAAATCATGTATGATTTTTGTTCCACTTCTCACGTGTACACCACTTTGTGTTGGTCTTTCACGTGGAATTCCGATAAAATTGATTCATTTTTGTGGCTGTAATGTGACGAAAAGTTCAAGGGGCCGAATACTTTTGCAAGCCACTGTAGATAACTAATGGCATCCAAGGCAACAGTTGCATAAGAGAGAGAGCAAGCAACCACCTGACAGCATTACCTTAAGTCACCCAAAACAGGTTACACACACACACACACACACAGAGGATTCTATTGGGTTTAAATGGCACTTCTAGTGTTACGGTTGGAAGGAGGACTCAAGCGCAGGACTCCGGTACTGATGCTTACAAGAAGAGTTTATTTACAAGTCACCAGGTGTATATACAAGAATGTGCAGGGGGGTGTTATATACAGCTGAGTGGGGGAAGAAGGGGTCTCCAGGGAAGTCCAAGGGAAAGCATACGTTCTTCAGAATATCCACTCACATGATCACAGGTTCACACTCCAACACTGCCACACGGGAAACACACGGGGAAAAATCCAAGAGGTTCTGTAGACAGGGAGACAGGGTTAAGGACGATGCACAGAGGAAAACACTCTTCACTAAACTTGCTGTAGCTTTGACTTTACTAACGCGTGGTAGACAACGATCCAGCGACGAACAGCAGTCACCTCCTGGCTTAAATGCTGCTCCCCTTAATGAGACACCTGGGTCTCATCTCCCGAGGGCGTGGACCAAGGGCATGAACCCACAGTGAGTTCCGCCCCGGCGAGAGAGAAGAGGAAGAGAAACAGAGAGGGCTGATCAGCGTGCAGCTGATCCGCCTGGCCGTGACAGTACCCCCCCCCTGACGGGAGCCTCCCGGCGACCCCAGGCTTGTCAGGGTGAGCCGCATGGAACGCCCGCACCATACCCCGATCCAAGAGGGCCGCCCGCGGGATCCAAGAACGCTCCTCCATCCCGTAGCCCTCCCAATCCACGAGATACTGCAGACCGCGCCCCCGGCGCCGAACATCCATGATCCGCGAAACGGTGAAAGCCGGGTGGCCATCAATGACCCGGGCGGGTGGAGGGGGTCTGGAAGGAGGGCACAGAGGACTAGAGAGACACGGCTTCACTTGCGACACGTGGAAGGAGTTATGGATCCTCATATTCCGGGGCAGGCGAAGGCGGACAGAGACAGGGTTAATCACAGAGTCGACCTCAAAGGGACCGATGAAAGTGGGAGGCAGTTTCTTGGACTCAGACCTGAGGGGGATGAATCTGGTAGACAGCCAAACCTTTTGTCCAGGTGTGTAGGTGGGAGCAGGGGTCCGGTGGCGATCCGCCAGGCGCTTATTGCGTTCCACCGTGCGGAGAAGGGAGGCCCGAGTCGCTCTCCAGGCGCGCCGACACCTCCGAAGATGCTGTCGGACAGAGGGAACAAAGTGCTCACCCTTGACGGCTGGGAAGAGTGGCGGTTGATAGCCCAAGGACGCCTCGAAAGGGGACACACCGGTGGCAGAGGAGGTAAGGCTGTTATGAGCATACTCAATCCATGACAGTTGCTCGCTCCAAGTTGACTGGTTAGTGGAGACCAGGCACCGGAGAGCTGCTTCGAGCTCCTGGTTGGCACGCTCCGTTTGGCCATTCGTCTGCGGGTGGAAACCAGAGGAGAGACTGACCTGAGCTCCGAGGGCACTGCAGAACTCCTTCCATACACGCGACGTGAACTGCGGTCCTCTGTCTGACACAATGTCCGTGGGGATGCCATGGAGGCGAAACACGTGGTCAGCTAGCAGCCGGGCGGTCTCTAGAGCAGTGGGGAGCTTAGGGAGGGCGACAAAATGAGCAGCTTTGGAGAAGCGGTCCACAATGGTGAGAATCACAGAGTTACCTGACGAGACGGGCAGACCAGTGATGAAGTCAACAGCGATGTGCGACCAAGGGCGGCTCGGAGTCGGCAGAGGGTAAAGGAGGCCAGAGGGTGGTTGATGGACACTCTTGTTTTGAGCGCAGGTCGAGCATGCGGAAATATACTCGCGGACGTCTTTGGCAAGGGAAGGCCACCAGGCGAAACGTTGGAGGAAGGTAATAGTGCGGTGGACCCCCGGGTGGCAGGTGAATCTGGCAGTATGAGCCCAATGTAACACTCGTGACCTTACTGAGGGGGGGACGAAGAGCAACCCTGGAGGGCCCGTTCCGGGGTCCGGTTCTGTCCGCTGAGCCTCTCGAATAGCCGACTCGATCTCCCAGGTCAGGGCCCCGACTACACAGGTGGGCGGTAGAATGGGAGAGTCCCGAGTTGCGTCTTCGGAGGCGGCGAATTGGCGTGAGAGGGCGTCTGGCTTGACATTACGGGAACCGGGTCTGTAAGTGATCGTAAACTGGAATCTAGTGAAAAACAGGGCCCACCTGGCTTGCCTGGCGTTGAGGCGTTTTGCCGATCGAATGTACTCCAAGTTCTTGTGATCGGTCCAGACCACAAACGGCTGGGCAGCACCCTCTAACCAATGGCGCCACTCCTCCAGGGCTAGCTTGATGGCTAGTAGCTCTCGATCTCCCACATCATAGTTGCTCTCTGCAGAGGTGAGACGGCGTGAAAAGTAGGCACAGGGATGCAGCTTACCTCCTTGCTGCTGGGAAAGCACCGCCCCACTCCAGCGCCCGAGGCATCCACCTCCACAACGAACTGCCGGTCGAGATCGGGTTGGACGAGAATGGGCGCCGAGGCAAAGCGGTCCTTCAGATGGGCAAACGCACGTTGAGCCAGCCCATCCCAGCAGAAGGGAACCTTGGGAGAAGTAAGACGGGTCAGAGGCAGGACCAGTTTACTATAGTTGCGAACAAAGCGCCGATAAAAGTTCGAACCCCAGAAAGCTTTGAAGCTGTTTACGGTTAGAGGGGGTCGGCCAGTCAACAACGGCTTGAACCTTTGCGGGATCAGTCTTGAGGTTACCCCGATCGATGACGTGGCCCAGGAAGGAAACAGTTGAGACATGAAACTCACACTTCTCCCCTTTAACAAAGAGACGATTTTCGAGGAGACGCTGAAGCACTTGCCTGACATGGCGTCGGTGGTCGGCGACAGACTGGGAGAAGATGAGGATGTCATCCAAGTAAATGAAAACGAAATGGTCGATGAAATCTCGGAGCACGTCATTCACGAGAGCCTGAAACACAGCTGGAGCATTGGTGAGACCAAAAGGCATCATAAGATATTCGAAATGGCCCAGGTGAGTATTGAAAGCCGTCTTCCACTCGTCTCCCTCCCTAATCCTCACCAGATGGTAGGCGTTGCGCAGGTCCAACTTTGTGAAGATGGTGGCACCCTGAAGCAGCTCGAACGCGGAACTCAGCAGAGGGAGGGGATACTTGTTTTTAACTGTGATGGCGTTGAGGCCGCGATAGTCAATACAGGGCCGTAAACTTTTATCTTTTTTGGTGACAAAAAAGAAACCAGCAGCAACAGGTGAGGACGAGGGGCGAATGAGACCAGCGGCAAGTGACTCATTGATGTAATTTTCCATGCTTTCCCGCTCCGGTCGAGACAGGCTATACAACCTACTGGTCTGAAGCGGCGCGCCTGGGAGGAGGTCAATCCCACAATCGTACGGCCGGTGAGGGGGAAGAGAGCGTGCCTTATCTTTACAAAACACTTGCGCCAGGTCGTGATAGTCAGACGGTATGGAGGACAGATCAGGCGGTTCTGAAATAGTTTTATTGGGTGGTAGGTTCATGGCGGGGGTGGCGGCTTTTAAACAGGACATGTGACACTCCTCCCCCCACCCCGAAATACTCTTTTTCCTCCAATCAATCACAGGGTTATGTTGACACAGCCAGGGATAGCCCAAGACTAGTGGAGTGAGTGGGGCCTTAAAGACGTACAACTGTATGGTTTCAACATGATTGCCGGAAAGAGACAGGGAAATCGGTTCTGTGACATGAGTAATGTCTGGAAGACGCTGGCCACTAAGGGCTGTGACTTGGAGTGAATGAGACAGAGGCTCCGTGCTAAAACCTAACTTCAGTGCCAGCGAGGCATCAATAAAATTCTCTTCTGCCCCGGAATCAATCAGAGCGTCGAGAGAATGAGTCCTGAGACGAACCGTTAGCTTAGCCGCAATCATGAGACGAGGAGGAGACTGAGAACATGAGACCTCGCCCACCCGTACACTCCTCACTACCGGCGGGCGCTGTCTTTTAGCCGCGCCTGGCAATCCATGGCAATATGGCCCTTGCGGCCACAATAATAGCACTCACCGGCCCTCCAGCGACGATACCGCTCCTCGGGCGACAGACTGGAGCGGCCCAGTTGCATGGGCTGTTCACTTTCTTCCGTGCTGTCCAACGAGTGACTGCCGCTAGGCGCGCCCCCACCTGACGTCTCCATGCGCCCCGGGGGCCTCTGGGAAATGTAGTTTCCGATTCCCCGACGCGCCCGTAGGTGCTCATCCAACTTCACACACAGCGTAATCACATCAGACAAGGTCTTAGGAACATCTCTCATCATCAGTTCTCTCTTTAACTCATCACAAACATTATTCAGGAGAGTACTTATCAATGCCGACTGCCCCCAGCCAGTCTCTTCGGCCAAGGTCCAGAATTCGACCGAAAAATCCGCCATATTCCGCCTCCCCTGCTTCAAATTTAACAGTCTGTGGGCAGCCGCCTCCGCTCCGGTGCCTCTTTCAAAAACACTCTTAAATTTGGTGAGGAAGTCCTCATAAGAAATGTCCGGGGCTGTTCTCAAAACAGCTTGCCCCCAGTTTAATGCGTGCCCGCGTAATAGTTGAACCATAAAGGCGATTTTGGCCCCATCTGTCTCATATGTTCTTCGTAACTGACGGAATTGTAGTGTAATCTGAGTCAAAAATCCACCACATTTATCGAACTCACCCGAGAAAGGCTCCGGCGCTGGTAACGATCGCTCCGGTGGTTCTGTGGGGGCCGGCGTGGGGGAAACAGGCGGAGCGGCTGCAGAGGGACTGGGAGCCGATAGCTGAGGAGAAACAGACGGAGGGGGTGAGGGTGGGCTTACCGACGGTAGACGTTGAGCGAGGGCTTGAGTGAGTGCGGCCAGTTGTTGATTTATGTGCCGAAGCATGTGTTCGTGGCGTTCCAGAATTGCCTCCGGGGTGAGGACGGGTTGCTGGGTGGGGTTTGAGTCCGCTGAGTCCATGATGGCTGGATCGTTATTGTTACGGTTGGAAGGAGGACTCAAGCGCAGGACTCCGGTACTGATGCTTACAAGAAGAGTTTATTTACAAGTCACCAGGTGTATATACAAGAATGTGCAGGGGGGTGTTATATACAGCTGAGTGGGGGAAGAAGGGGTCTCCAGGGAAGTCCAAGGGAAAGCATACGTTCTTCAGAATATCCACTCACACGATCACAGGTTCACACTCCAACACTGCCACACGGGGAAAAATCCAAGAGGTTCTGTAGACAGGGAGACAGGGTTAAGGACGATGCACAGAGGAAAACACTCTTCACTAAACTTGCTGTAGCTTTGACTTTACTAACGCGTGGTAGACAACGATCCAGCGACGAACAGCAGTCACCTCCTGGCTTAAATGCTGCTCCCCTTAATGAGACACCTGGGTCTCATCTCCCGAGGGCGTGGACCAAGGGCATGAACCCACAGTGAGTTCCGCCCCGGCGAGAGAGAAGAGGAAGAGAAACAGAGAGGGCTGATCAGCGTGCAGCTGATCCGCCTGGCCGTGACATCTAGTGTGTGTTTTAGCATTTAAAAATAATTCTTTGTGAGTTTGCAAAAATGGAAATATAATGTGGCAGTTTTTCTTTGGAGGCTGGTAAATCATGACTTCAACCACTCAGCTAACCTATTCATGCCACACTTCTAAACTTTAGCCAGTTTCTTAACAATGGTTTCTGGCATAAAGAGGAATGCTTCCCCTAGGTCGGCTCTGGCAAGTCGTGATAGCAGACCAACAGAAAGCAGCCAACCTTGAAATGATACTAAAGTGCAGTTACTGTTAAAGCAGATCTTTTTAATTACTCAGTGATTTGCAGAATGACTTTGCACAACAAAGAGCCCTGGTTCCATTACACAACTTCTGTACAGCTTTGGCACAAAGGCAATTCATCTCACTGCATTCTTGATTTAATCACTAGTGAACCTTTGTCCACATCTTCACCACTGAGCATAGGCTTAGTGTTGTTTATTGCTCAAAAGTTTCAAATGAAGAAAAGTTTGGCTAAGATCACAAGAAAATGTAGAAAACATCTGCAAATATGAAACAAAGGAGGATTTATACACTAAATCACAATACAAATGACGACTAAATCATCCTAGTTTTATTTTCCCTCTATTTCATCTCCTCTGCGTGAGGCATTTTTTTTGTTTCTGTGAACTAAAGAACTGGGCCAGGGCTCTGTCAGAAGTCCTACAGAAGCTTGGTTTCAATCAGCATTAAATAGCCTCATTTATACTGAAGATTTATCATTTTAAATCACTAAGCAGTAAAAAGTCCAAATGTGAAGCCAGCATGTGGAGAAAAACTGCTGTGTTTGTGTGAAGAAAACGCAGAAGAATGTTATGCAAGAGCAAGTGACTTAACCCTTGGTAGTACCTACGGCCATTTATCATCCACAGCGTTTTCTAACCCTTGGTAGTACCTAAAAAAAAGTACCCCTTATGAAGACCTAGAGCCATAAATCGACCACGCCATAAAGTGCTATAAAAAGATTATACATCAATATTTTTCCACTTTAAATTAGCCAATATTGTAGACCTACTTCTCCTTGAAATATACATATGAAGTTTTAATTATATTTTCGTTGTTTTAACCCTTTAAATCCCAGTTGTATTACATGAGCGCCCCGTTTTTACAAAAAACTAAATATTTAGAAATAAAAACATTTGAAGTAATATTCGTTTGTTATTATAATTAGGCCTTTAGATGGACTAAAGATCAGCACCAAAATTAATTTCGATCAACTTACAATTTTCTTTTCCGAAGCGAATTATGTCCTCCAGGCGGTCCGTCGTCGTTGTCTAAGCCGGGATCCATGCCTCCTCCCGGGTAACGTGCAGACGATTTCTCCGGTCATGTTTCGTCGGACGCCTTTCACCAGCACACACGTCGATACCACGTGACAACAAATACGTCATTTCCGGTTGAGTCAAAAAAAAAATTCCCGCTTGAGTGACCCTGGGACTGAGACATCGCTCCAGACGATCGGCGGGGGAATCCTGTTTTCCAAGCCGCGATCGAATCCTGATTTCCGGGTAGTGTTTTACGGCGGCTCGCTGATTTCGAGCAAGCGTCAAATGTGAAGCAAGGGAGCCACCCGGTGGCCAAAAAAAAAATTACAACTCTAAGGCATCTCTACACCCCCGTGTAGGAGAAACGGCCATGGCCGCTATGCTTACGCTAAATTGTTTTAGTGAAAAATAGCGTTTATAATGGGTTTCAATGGGGCGATTTATGTGGATGTCGGTTTTTAGCTTAGCCACCTTAAGCTAATCGAATAAACGGAGACGGCAATTCTAAAGATAAGCAAAAAAAAAAGGGGGTTGGGAGGTTTGGCTATATTCTATTCAACACAGTGAAAATGGCCTAATATTAATCCAGGAGAGAAAAGTTGCTTTATGGGGCTGTCCGAATACCACCAGCAACATTATTTTGTTGAATGCATTTGGGAGTCTTTTAAATCTTTAATTCTATTGTTTGTTTTTATTATTGATTGTTGGATAATTTAATCCACAAACCTTGGTTCAGCTGAGGAGAGGAAAAAATAAGGGTCCATGTGCAAGTCTTAGTTAAGATTAGCCAGCTGAATCCATAAAAAGCTAAACTAAAAACAACACACTGAGCAACTACCAGACAAGTGACAGAGAGTGAAGCCTAGTGTACTCCCAGCATGGATGCAGCTTGAGCCAAAAAGTCCGCTTTTCTGAGTTTAATTAGAAGTGGGGGTCCGTGTTGGCTAACACTTTTCAAGTTTTCACACCTCTAATTTTAAGTCCATAATTTTTTTAACGCTACTAACTTATTTATTTGTGCTGTAAAGTTGGACATTTTAACATGGGACTGATGGGGACTGAGACTGACTGCTGGATCCTCAGGTGATCCTTAGAGTATCTGTAGTTTTTATTTTTTTATTTTTTTAGCAATGACTTCATCTTGCAGTTTATTAAATTGGAGGTGGGGGACGCGGGGGTGTCAGTCTCTCCTTGCTTATCAATAAAAGTCACCAGCCTACATTGATTTGTAATGTATTTTATAGATTTTAGAGTGTCTGCTCTCAGGATGAGGTATGGAAAGAACAGAAAATAAGCTCATTTGCAGTAAATATTAATTGTGTCACTTGGAAGTTTCTTCAGTGTTAAAGTGATTCATTCACCCTGCAACATTCAAAGTTTTAAATTACTGGAATATTGTACTTCATAATACTGTAATAATTACCTCTATTGTGCAAACCACACTCAAATGAACTGTGCTGGGGGATCTCCATTCCAGTGTGATTGCATGCCAAAAGTAACCAGGCAAGAAAACACAGAGTGGAGGCAATCAGTGCCAGTTCAACATCTGGCACGCAGACAGGCTGAGGGGGTTTACTGCCTGCTGGAGGCTGATCCCAAGCCCACTGAGAAGAATCAGAAGAACCAGTTTACTGAATATGACAGTGAAATAAAACAAACTGAGACTGTATTCTTGTGTTCGTCTTAGGCATGTTTCAGGATAAACAGCATTTTGTGCTCCTAACCAGAGTCAGAATCAAAAAAGGAAGAGGACCACAAATTCCAAAATCCACAAGCATTTTATTGTCATGTTACGTATCCCATCTTTGAAATAATTAAGACAAACAGAAAGACACAACAGAAACAGGCAGCCAAGCCACTGGCAGTCATACAGCTTAAGGTCCAACTTTGCAGCAGGATGAAAACAGATTGAACGAGTCTCTGTGCTGCAGCTCCACACTCGGCATCTCCTCCCACTCTGTCAGACCTCCCTGCTGTGCTCCAATGCACTCGAACACTCTGTGGGCTGAATCAGAGCTCTGTTACCACAGACATGAAACTCACAGCTGTATTATATTACAGCGGGAACATGCAGACATTTCAGAGGCCAGACTTTGAAAGAAAAAAGGCAAAGAAAACTTAAACCTCTGACCTGGACTTATGTAATATTTAATAGTTCTCATACTGCAAGTTAGTGCCTCATGTTGGTATCTACTGCCATCTACTGTCCTTTCTTAGGATACTAGGATATTTATGTTGTAAATTTTAATCCTAATACTTATTATTAGTAAGGCTTCCTGTGAAAAAACACAGCAGGAATCTTTCCAGTGTTTCTTTTTTCTTACCTACGGATTGCAGCAGCTCGGTGACTTGCTCTCCAGAGAGGGCTGAGGTCTCAGTGAAGTACAAGCCCTTGTTACTGGCTAGACTTTGTCCTTCCTGGAGGAAGAAATCAGAACTGCTCATCACTGAGTTGGACTCTCTTTACATGTGACTCTGTGCAGGTAATAAGATTACAGGAGCGTGCTTGTCTTTGTCTGTATACCTCCAGTGGCACTTGCCGATTGTGAGCCAGATCTCCTTTGTTGCCTACCAGCCATATAACAGTAGATCCTGGTATGTACTGTTTCTCGAGCTCTTTGAGCCACACCTGAGCTCTGACAAATGTTTCCTATGATGACACAAGCATGCTCAAGAACAAGACATAAAGAGAAAACCAGTCGAGATAAATCATTTCATAGTCAGGTGTGTCTTCGTTTTACCCTTTGCGTGATATCATAGACCAAAAGTGCTACGTGGGCTCCCCTGTAGTACAGCGGAGTGACGCTGTGGTATTTTTCCTGGCCTGCCGTGTCCCAGATTTCAAAGCGAAGAGTGGCATTACTCAGACGCACCAACTGGGTAAGGTAAGCACCTGGAGGAATAAACACCAAAGGAGTGGGTGTGTGAAATTAGAAAAATTGTATTTACATTATTATCATGATTATTACTGAAGTCTTTGTGAAAGCTGTAAATTTTTAACATATGCTGACTGGTCACTTTTTAAGCTACACAAAGCTACTGCTGGCTTGGACCTTCCCTTCAAAGCTCAGAGATTTTGGTCCATGATGACATGATAGTGTCACACAGTTGTTGCACATATATGATGTGAATCTCAGTTTTCACCATATCCTAACGGTGCTGTATTGGGCTGAGATCTGGACGCCATGACATGGTTAGTAGCAATACTCAAGTAGGCTGTGACATTTAAATGATGCTCTGTTGGTACTGAGGGGCCAAAATGTGAAGAAAAAAATCCCCCTAACTATTACAGCACCACCACCAGGCAGGATGGAGGATGTTGTCTGCACTAAACTATGACCCTACCATCCAAATCCTGCACCACAAATAGAAACTCATTAGAGCCGGCAACATTTTTAGTTTTCTTTTGTCCAGTTTTGGTGATTTTGTGTGAAATGTAGCTTCAGTTCCACATTTGTCGCTGACACTCAGTGTGGTTTTCTGCTGCTGTAACCCATCTTCAAGCCTGGATGTGTTGTGCATTCAGAGATGCTCTTCTGCATGTCTTGGTTGTAACAAGTGATTATTTGAGCTCGAAGCTCAACGCAGTCTAGCCATTCTCCTCTGACCTCTGACAGCGACAAGACTTTTCTCTGGGACAAGACTCCCAAAGAAGTGCAGTTTACTGTACATATCCTCTTTTTCAGATTATTCGCTGTAAAGCCAAGAGATGGTTTTGTGGGAAAATTTCAGCAGATCAGCAGTTTCTGTCATTCTTAGACCAGCACGTCTGGCACCAGCAA